GGAGGCGCTACATGCGGCGCCCCCGCTGCGCGCGGCGTGCCGCTGCCCTAGGTCATAGCCACGCGCTTGCAGCTTGCCCAGTCTGTGTCTCCCTTGCCTTCCAGCTTGCAGCTTTGCCAGCGGCCTCCGCTGCAGCGGCCCTGCACGCCAGACCTACAGAACAACCCCGCTGTCCTCTTGCCCCCGCGCCCACCGACAGCATGACGAGTGCCGCTGAGTTCGCCAGCATGGGACCCCTGCTGCAGAGGGTGCGTAGCCTGCGGCGTAGCCTGCTGCAGACTCCCACCTGTCGCGCCCAGATGTTGGCGCATAACAACTTGGGCATCTACCTCAAATCTGCGCCACCTTGCGCCCACACCCTCTGCTTGCAGTACTTTGGCGCATCGCCAGGAAAGCAGGCTGCCTCGACAGCGGTGAATGCCTTCAAGCAGGCGGTGTCGGCGGCTGCGGCGCCCCCCGCGGCGGCATCGCCAGCCAAGGCCACCACGGCTGCCATTCACGGTGAGCTGATTGTCAGGCTGGAATGCACTGAATTGCAGCAAGTGCAGCTTTTCTCTTTCTCTCTCCCCCGCCCCTGCTCACACAGTCGTGTGCCCGCCCGCAGCTGCCACCAAGTCGGCGTCGCCCAAGCCCACCGCCCCCTCCCCTCCTCGCTTCATCATGCCCACGCACCAGCCCAGCTTTGCCCCGGGCACCATGCTGATGCGCATGCATTCCAGCCACACCAGCAAGCCCTGCTGAACGGCTTGCAGGCATGTGCCTGCCTTCGTGTACCATAGCCCTCGATGAATGAACCGCACCCTGACCTGCTGCCGCCCCTCTCCCTCCTGTTTGTGTGCTTCGAATCCAAATCCTGCTTGCCCATACAGCTCCCAGCACTGCCTGCTCTCTTGACACCCTGTATGCATATTCATGGCTCGATTCTTTTTGCCTGCCAGCGCCCGTTCGACACCCTTCGCCAGCCCATGCACTCCTTCCACATTATTCTGGCACGCTCGCCATTAGGTCTAGTATCAACAACCGCATTTGCTTGCTCCAAATACATACAGTGACAATTGGTCACATTGCTCTCACACATGTAACTGATCCACTTGTAGCAGTGCAGCAGGTGGGGCAGCAGGTCAGAGGAAGCCCTTGCGCATGCCACCAGGGTTGCGCGCAGCTTTCCAGCCCAGGCGCCATGCAGCCACCGTACCATCGCTGGCACCGCTGTACAGCGTGCTGCCATCCGGGGAGAAGAGCAGGGCAGACATGCCTGCCTTCTGGTCGTACCGCAGCTGAGCAAAGGAGGCCAGGCTGGTGCCGGCCTCGCGCCCGCCGCCGGCGCCCGTCTGGAACACCTGCCGGCACAGGGAGCAGGCGGCGGGCACCACAGGCTGCTGTGCGTGGGTGCGCGCCAACATTGGACGCCTCATGCGCTCAGCGCCTGTTTCCGGTGTCAGACCCGCCACCAGCGCCCCTGCCCCCACCTTGATGGTGCTGGCCCCCAGGGGCCCCGTGGAGCCGCTGGCCAGCAGCGCGCCGTCGGCGGACAGCGCCAGGCAGGCAGGCCAGGTGGTGTCCTCGTGCCGGCCGTGCATGGTGCGCAGGCACACCCAGTGCCGCGTGGCCCAGGCCTGCAGGCAGCGCGCGGCACACCTCCTCCCCTCACACCGGTGCCGCCTCGGGCTGGCCGGCCTAGGGTCCCCATTTGGGTGATGCTTCCCTGCTGCCACCGCAAGCAGCAGACCATGCTTCCAGGCAGGCGCGCCGCACCCGAATAGTGTTGTCGGCAGCGGCGCTGTAAAGCATGCCGCCATCAGGCGCGACGGCCAGCGCCCGCACGCCGCCGCCGTGCCCTTTGAGCACCCGCAGGCAGTGCCAGTCGGTGGTGCGCCACACCCGTATGGTTTGGTCGTAGGAGCCGCTGAACAGCAGGTCGCCAGCGGGGCTCAGCGCCAGGGACAGCACCGACTCGGTGTGGCCCACAAGGGTGTGCGCCAGCTGCGGCCGGGGGCAACTGGTGCTGCTGCCATCCTTGCAGTCGCCGCCCCAGTGCAGGCGCCACACCCTGACGGCGCAGTCGGAGGATCCGAGGGAGGAGGTGAACAGCAGGCGGCCTGCCGGGTCGGCGACGATGGCGTGCATGTTTGGCGGCGCCCGCAGCAAGCTCTGGATGTACTGGCGCGCCTCCTCGGCTGCCTGCTTGGCCGCCTCCGCCTCGCTGTCTGGCGCAGCAGCGCCGGCCTGGCTGCTGCCGCCTGCACTGTCGCTGCTGCTGACAGCATTGGATGCGGCAGGGGCAGGGCGTGTTGTTGTTTCGCCGCGTGCCGCTGCTGCACAGTAGCGGCGGGCCACATCCTTCCGGTAGTAGCCAGCCCCCTTGGTGCCCTCCCTGAACAGGTATCCCTCCCTGCAGGGCATAGAGCAATAAAAACACTATGAAGAACTGTGGGCAGCCGCAGCTAGGATGCCCAGCATGCAAAGTACAGCAGGCGAGCTGGCCCGCGCTTGCCTGTGGCCACGGTAGCCTGCCGCTTCAAGGAACTCGGGCCCTACTGCAGCACTGGTGGCATTGCTGAGTGCCTCCTCCCGTGCTGCTGCTCCGTCATGGCCAGCTGCCGCGGTTGCTTGGCCGTTCACACCGGCCTGCTGCTGCTCATCTGAAGCAGCAGCGCCATCAGAGGGCGTGGGTGTTGCTGGCGCTGCCGATGCTGCCTCCGCGGGTGTGCCTGGCAGGGTGCAGCTGTCCATCACTGTGCTTGCATCAGCATTCAGTGCCAGCATCAGACCATCGCCCGTGATGCACAGCAGGCCTTCCCTGCCCCCAGGCAGCGGGCGAAGGAGGCGCACGTTGCTGACTGGCATGCTTCCCGCACTGTGTAGGTTGCTGCCATCCTGTAAGAACCAAAAGAGGTGGATGATGTGGTGCATGGCTGAGGAACAGGTAGGCATTGGACGCATGTAGGTGTGTGTGTGTGAGGGGGGGGGGACTCTGCTGCGATCACCATGCGGTGTGTGGAATTCGCCCCACCTTGCAGCTGACTGCCACCACTGAGGCCTCATCGCCGTGCGGCTTGCGCGTGGGCGCGGCAGCATCACAGCCGCTCCACAGGCAGGTGGCGTCTGCCGAGAAGGCGAGGACAGACACCTTGGACTGGTGCAGCTGCAGGCGGTGGGGAAGGTGGTGCTGCTGTGGGTCTGTTTTTCTTAGCAAGCACTGAGCAGGCATCACGGACGTCCTTGCCTGCACAACCCCCACCTGCTCGTGCCAGACCGCTTCCACTTCCAGCTCCCGCCGCCCGCCAGCCGGGGCAGCGGGTGCCGTGGCCGGCATGGGAGCCTGCAGCAGGATGTCACGAGCGCTGCTGAGTACGGGCAAGCTGGCAGGTGTGGAGACGGGGCTGCATGCCCTGGAAGCGCTCACCACGATGGGCATGGTGGCTGGGTCCCTCCGTCTCCCCTGCTGTCCAAGAGGTGGGACAGGGTGATGGTGCGCTGTGACGTAGCAGCAGCTAGAATCAGGGCCGTTCCCGCATTGCCCACGGTTGCCACGGAGGCAGACCGGTCAGCAGTGTCCCACCCAAAGCCGGAGAGCCTGCCCTCGTGCGGTTCAGCTCAAAGCATGATTGGTGGCATTGGCATGCACGCAAAGCTCCTTGCGGTTTGCGTTTTGCTTGCCGCCGCAGGTCTGCTCTACACCGGGACGTTTATCCAGCTGCCGTCGCCCACAGGCATACCGGGCATGACGGCGCAACACCCACGCCGGATCGTGGTGGTGGGCAGCGGGCTGGCGGGCACCGCGGCGGCGCTGGCGGCGGCAGAGTCGGCGGGGCCCGACGTGGAGGTGGTGGTGCTGGAGAAGGAGGCCCGGGCGGGGGGCAACAGCATGAAGGCATCCAGCGGCATCAACGCCCTCACACCCGACCAGGGAGACGCCGCCGAGGCGTTCCGCGAGGACACCCTCAGGAGCGGCGGCGGCCTGAGCGCCCCCGAGCTGGTGGACACACTGGTGGTGCGTGCGCTGGCGCCCCCACGCCCCGCCTGCATCCACAAAATCAGGCACTGCAGCCTGCCTGCCCGCCTGCCTGCCAGCCTGCCCGTGAGCGCATGGCTGCTGGGTCGCATCGGCCCCATCTACCCGAAAGGGATGGCGCGCAGCCGAGCGCGGCGTGCCGCCCGCGCTGCGTCTTGCCGCAGGGCGACAGCCAGGAGGCGGTGGGGTGGCTGGAGTCGCAGGGCATCGAGCTGAGCGGCAGGGTGCAGCTGGGGGGGCACACCCGCAAGCGCACGCGCACCAGCACCCGGGGCCCGGTCGGCTTCTCCATCATGAGGGCGCTGCTGGAGCGGCAGGCGGGGGACAGCAGGGTCAGGGTGGTGACGGGGGCCAAGGTGGGCCGGGGCTGGGTGGCGGGGCAGCCGTGCTGCGCACTCTCCCCCCTCTGTCGTGCTGGCTACACCCGGCCGCTGCCAAGCCCGCCCCCCTACTCCGCTTGCTGCCACCTGCCTCTCTCCATCCCACCCCCCCCTCCACTGCACTTTCCCTCCGTCCCGCTCTTGCAGGTGGAGTCGCTGCTGCACCAGGACGGCCGGGTGGAGGGTGTGGCGTATGTGGCAGACGACGGCAGCCAGCAGCGCCTGGAGGCCAGCGCGGTGGTACTGGCCACGGGCGGCTTTGGCGCCAGCGGCGAGCTGCTGAGGAAGTATGCGCCGCAGGTGGGGGTGGGTGGCTGGTGTGGGCGCCGGAGCACCCGCCGCACTCTGGCTGTCTGCCTGCTCACAAGTATTGCTCCTGTTCCTGGCCGCCACAAGCGGCAAGCAGCATGGCGCATCGGCCGCGTCCCACCCACCCCACACTGTGTGTGCCCTGCCTCCCCTGGCCCCGCCTCCCCATGCCGCCGCGCAGGCCGCGGAGCTGCCCACCACCAACGGGGCGTGGGCGCAAGGGGAGGGGCTGGCGCTGGCACAGGCTGCAGGCGCCAGCCTGCTTCACCTGGATCGGGTGCAGGTGCACCCCACCGGCTTTGTCGACCCCGCAGACCCGGCCAGCGGCACCAAGGTGGGGCGGGAGGCGGGGGCCCGCCCGTTGCCGGGCGCTTGCAGGTGGTGGTTGCCTGGCCGGGGGTAGGGGGCGGATGAACGGTGGCAGGGGCAGCTGCACCTTGCGGGCCTGTCTCGGCCCCGGCCATGCCTGCCACAGCTGCCGCTCCATGCCGGCCCTCGCCTGCCTCCTTGGTGGCCTGCCCGCAGTTCCTGGCTCCCGAGAAGCTGCGGGGCGTGGGCGGCATTCTGGTGAGCCCCGAGGGCCGCCGCTTTGTGGATGAGCTGACGACCCGCGACAAGGTGGCGCAGGCAAGTGGACCTGCCAGGTGGCTGGGCTGTCACCCCTGGCATGCTGTGCTGTGCTGTGCTGTGCTGTGTCCGGCACCACCCGCATGAAGGCACGCTGCAGGCGGCTGCCCCATCCCAGCACCAGACCACCACCACCGCCACCCTCTCCCTTCCGGCTCCCCGCCACCGCAGGCCATCCTGCAGCAGCCCCACCGTCAGGCGTTCCTGCTGCTGGGCTCCGACGCCGCGCAGCAGTTTGGCCCCGCCCTGGGCTTCTACGTCTCCAAGAGCCTGTTCACCAGGCATGACAGCCTGGCCGCCGCCGCGGAGCACATGGGCGCAGCGCCAGAGGTGCTGGTGGCTGAGGTGGAGGCCTACAATGCGGCGGCGGCAGAGGGGCGCGATGCCCACGGCAAGACGGTGTTCCCCACCACCATCGACCCGCAGGCCGCGGTGCATGTGGCCCGCATCACTCCCGTGGTGCACTACACGATGGTGCGCAGCAAGAGGCAATGGGTGGCAGCCTGGCGGCTGTTCGGACGGCCGGCCTGCTGCTTGGGCTGGTACAGCTGCTGGGTGGGTGGGTGATGCTGGGGGCACCGGGGCCAGGCTGCCCGGTGCTGTGCCACGGCGTGGGAGCGGACGCAACGCCGCCTGTGCTGCCGCTGCTGGTGCAGGGTGGCGTGGCCATCAGCCGCGAGGCTCAGGCGCTGGACGCGAGCGGGGTGCCGGTGCCGGGGCTGTTTGCGGCGGGCGAGGTGGCGGGCGGCCTGCACGGCGCCAACCGCCTGGGCGGCAACAGCCTGCTGGAGTGTGTGGTGTTTGGGCGGCGGGCGGGGCGCAACGCAGCCGCCTTTGTGCGCGACCTGCTGCGCGAGGCGGCGGGAAGCTATGCCAGCTGAGTGCGGCGTGCCGGCTGGCTGCCGACGCAGCCACCCATCCCTAGAGCGTAGCAGCCCTCCACTCATGCTCGCGACTCAGTGGCATTTGCGGTTACAGCGTCTTGTGTGGCAGGTGTCTTATGTGGCAGATGTGTGTCCAGAGCGGTTGTGTGTTGTCTGTATGTATGTGTGTCTGCCTCGACGTGCATCATCTCATTGATGGAATTCGACAAGCAGCAAGGAATGCAAGTCAGCAGGGCTTGGTGTGCGGCAGAGGGCAGGCTGGAGGGAAAATTGGTGTTGCCAGGCACGGGGCTGGGCACGGAGGTGCGGGCCGCAGCGTCGGCACATGTCGCGCCCTCAACAAAAGAAGCAGAGGAGGAAAGAAGGACAGAGCGCTTAGTAGTTCCAGCGGTATCCGCTGCTAATGTACAGCTGCACCGCAGCGTGTAGAGTGCTCATTGCAGTGTGCGGAGCCTGTCTGCTCAGCACTGGGGCAGGGTGGTTGCCATTGCGTGCCATGCGGAGTGGGTGCGCAGGCTCACTCTTGGCGCCTGCTCGGCGGCTGTGGCGGCTGCAGCTGCCCACCCTTGAGCCAGAACTTGCCCAGGTCTAGGCAGAGGGCACAGATGTTCACGCACTTCATCCCAACCCACACCTGCACGGGTCCAGGCAGCGGCGGGTCGGGGCGGCTGGCAGCGCCGGCGGCTGCACCCGACCCCACCTAGCACAGGCACCAGCGCGCGTCCGCGCGGCAGCCCCACGCACCGCCAGCAGGCTGCCGTGGGTGAGCGAGGCGATGCCCAGCACCAAGAGCGACACGGCGCAGGAGGCGGCAGTGCGCGCGCCCAGGTAGCCGGTGTCAGAGGCGCCCAGCAGGCCGCCTTCCAGCACGGTGCCCAGCGCATCCAGGGGCTGCACGGGGGGAAGCAAGGGGCAGGGGGCAGGGGGCCGCCAGGCATGGGCCAGAGCGCACGACAGGCCGGGGGGGCAGATGCAGCAGGGCACAGGCGCGGCGCTGGCAGATTAGAACGTAGTATACACACCCAAACCGGCCTGCCCCTCTAACATCCCCGCCACAGGCCACCACCCTTTCCCCCCGCTACCCCCCCCCCCTCCTCACCATGAGCAGCAGCAGGAAGGGCAGCACCTCGGCCACCTCCCGCTGCACCAGCACATCCTCGGTGAACAGGTCTGGCAGCAGCCCGCGGCCGGCAAACAGCGCCGCCGCCAGCGGCAGGCTGACCGCCACCGCCAGCTGCGCGATGCGCACCAGCACCTCGGCGGCGCGCCCCTCCCGCTGCCGGCTGAGGCTGTTGGCGATGAGGGAGTGGGCGGTGGCGTTGAAAGCAATGAAGAGCTGCGGGCAGCAGGGCAGGGCAGGAGGAAAGGAGCGTGGGCCGAATGGCAGCGCACGAGCGGGGCGGACCTCTTTGTGTTGAGGGAGTGCGGCGGCGATCCTCGGCGGGCGCGTGGCGCCAGGAGCACACCCCACCCGTGTCTGCCCACGGCCCGCCCCCGCTCGCGCGCCCCCCCGCACCTGCAGCCAGAAGCCCATGACCTGGCGCAGGATGGTGTGCGCCCCCAGGTGCTGCACGCCCAGCGCGGTGGCGGCAGACGTGGCCACCAGCGTGGGCAGAAGCGCCGACAGGTTGTTCACCGCCAGCGGGGCGGTCATGCGCGCATAGGGGCGCACGTCGGCGGGGCCCGGCAGGCAGGCCATGTCGCGCACGTGGAAGATCTGTGGGAGGGAGGAGA